AATTTAAACACATTGAACATTGCATGCAAATCATCACTATTTTTATACATGCTTTTCCCCCAAAAACGCAAAAATAGTAAAAAGGGGCTGTGAAAACTCACTCTTTTGCAAAGCTCCGCAAATTAAAGATACGATCCGGTCACCACACGAGCTTAACGATTCCCTATCAAAGAGGAATATCCAAAACTGTCACTTATGGGTTTAAAACTACTTATGGGGAATAATAAGTCCTAAGTCCATAAGTGTCTACTTATGTCCAACTTGATTATCTATAATCCAAATATACATAATGTCCATATGCTCGTTAATATATTAATTTATACCGGAAGTAATGTTATAATCCAATAAATGATCAAAATTTTGCAAAATCAAATAATCCCAAAATCTCATTTTTGGGCAGAAACTAACGATACATAAAATGATCAATTTAAAGGGACTTCTAAAATGAGATAGTTTCCTATCTTTTTTTTATGAGATATAGCACTGAGTTATGGTCATTGTGACCAAATTTCATGCATTTTGGACATGCAATAATGATTTAAATAATTTATTCAATACAATATATCACAACTGATATGGCAGATTACACCACGTTAGTAAAATACTCATTTAAAGAGTTCTATTAAGTGTTCTGCCGAAATTCAAGTTGGATTATAAACTTAACATTTAAATGAAACTTTTAAACTAAGAATCACTCATTTTGGATTAGTTGAGAGGAATATATGGCACCATAAAGTTACATGCACACATCTGTCATTAGTTGACAGATTGCACACTTAAATTAATTAAATTGGTTAATGACTCAAATCTTGGTATTTTTGAGTGAAACTGGGTTCATATGCACCCTAACTCATAAAAGAACATTTTAGAAGAAGAATAATACACAAAGAGCAAGTAAATAAAGAGATATTAGTATACAAAGTAGGAGTTACTTACTGGTGGTTTCACAGTTTGCACACCTAAAGTATTTTAGGTGTTTGGAGAACAAAACTCCATATTTTCATGTGATTTTCATGAAGAAGATAACACATATAGTTAACTCTCAAAGGAAGAATCATCATTTTTCATCGAGTTTTGAAAGAGATATGGTCATTGAAACATACATATACAAATCTGTCAGATTCGGACAGATTGCATGCTCACTTTGTTTTGAGTAGTTAAAACCTCAAATCACCACATTTTTTAATGAAATCAGTGTAATTTGAAAGGTAACTCATTAAGTTAACTTCCATAAGAAAAATCAATGATTTTGAATGATTATCTAGAGAGTTATGGTTGTTTAAAGTAGGGTTTACCCACTGAAAAACTCTCAGATGCATATAGATAATGTTTTGAGTATTTGGGGAGTCAAAACTCAATTTTTTTGAGTGAGACCAATTGGATTACAACCCGAACTCAATAAATAAACTTTTAGAAGAATATTCATAACATTTGAACATGTTATTATCAAGATATGGACGATTTATGCACATGCACATAATCTGTCAGCACCTAAAATGTCATTTTTTTAGGAATCAAACCCACATGCAACATGATTTTAACTATTTTCTTGAGTTCTAATGTTTGGGTCATAGATTACCACCATCATATGAACATTTTTACATGTTTTTGGTGTATAATCTCTCCTTAAAACTCAGAAATTTTC